CATCTCTCCGTGCAGAGTACTAACCACTTTCCATCATCTCTCCATGTAGAGTACTAACCACTTTCCATCATCTCTCCATGCAGAGTACTAACCACTTTCCATCATCTCTCCATGCAGAGTACTAACCACTTTCCATCATCTCACCGTGTAGAGTACTAACCACTTTCCATCATCTCTCCGTGCAGAGTACTAACCACTTTCCATCATCTCTCCATGAAGAGTACTAACCACTTTCCATCATCTCACCGTGTAGAGTACTAACCACTTTCCATCATCTCTCCATGCAGAGTACTAACCACTTTCCATCATCTCTCCATGCAGAGTACTAACCACTTTCCATCATCTCTCCATGCAGAGTACTAACCACTTTCCATCATCTCACCGTGTAGAGTACTAACCACTTTCCATCATCTCTCCGTGCAGAGTACTAACACTTTCCATCATCTCTCCATGCAGAGTACTAACCACTTTCCATCATCTCACCGTGTAGAGTACTAACCACTTTCCATCATCTCTCCGTGCAGAGTACTAACCACTTTCCATCATCTCTCCATGCAGAGTACTAACCACTTTCCATCATCTCTCCATGCAGAGTACTAACCACTTTCCATCATCTCTCCATGCAGAGTACTAACACTTTCCATCATCTCTCCATGCAGAGTACTAACACTTTCCATCATCTCTCCATGCAGAGTACTAACACTTTCCATCATCTCTCATGCAGAGTACTAACCACTTTCCATCATCTCTCCATGTAGAGTACTAACCACTTTCCATCATCTCTCCATGCAGAGTACTAACCACTTTCCATCATCTCTCCATGCAGAGTACTAACCACTTTCCATCATCTCTCCATGCAGAGTACTAACACTTTCCATCATCTCTCCATGCAGAGTACTAACACTTTCCATCATCTCTCCATGCAGAGTACTAACCACTTTCCATCATCTCTCCATGTAGAGTACTAACCACTTTCCATCATCTCTCCATGCAGAGTACTAACCACTTTCCATCATCTCTCCCTGCAGAGTACTAACCACTTTCCATCATCTCTCCATGCAGAGTACTAACACTTTCCATCATCTCTCCATGCAGAGTACTAACCACTTTCCATCATCTCTCCATGCAGAGTACTAACCACTTTCCATCATCTCACCATGCAGAGTACTAACCACTTTCCATCATCTCTCCGTGTAGAGTACTAACCACTTTCCATCATCTCTCCATGCAGAGTACTAACCACTTTCCATCATCTCTCCATGCAGAGTACTAACACTTTCCATCATCTCTCCATGCAGAGTACTAACACTTTCCATCATCTCTCCGTGCAGAGTACTAACCACTTTCCATCATCTCTCCATGCAGAGTACTAACACTTTCCATCATCTCTCCGTGCAGAGTACTAACACTTTCCATCATCTCTCCGTGCAGAGTACTAACCACTTTCCATCATCTCTCCATGCAGAGTACTAACCACTTTCCATCATCTCTCCGTGTAGAGTACTAACCACTTTCCATCATCTCTCCGTGCAGAGTACTAACCACTTTCCATCATCTCTCCATGCAGAGTACTAACACTTTCCATCATCTCTCCGTGCAGAGTACTAACCACTTTCCATCATCTCTCCATGCAGAGTACTAACCACTTTCCATCATCTCTCCATGCAGAGTACTAACACTTTCCAACATCTCTCCATGCAGAGTACTAACACTTTCCATCATCTCTCCGTGCAGAGTACTAACCACTTTCCATCATCTCTCCATGCAGAGTACTAACCACTTTCCATCATCTCTCCATGCAGAGTACTAACACTTTCCATCATCTCTCCATGCAGAGTACTAACCACTTTCCATCATCTCTCCATGCAGAGTACTAACCACTTTCCATCATCTCTCCATGCAGAGTACTAACCACTTTCCATCATCTCTCCATGCAGAGTACTAACACTTTCCATCATCTCTCCATGCAGAGTACTAACCACTTTCCATCATCTCTCCGTGCAGAGTACTAACACTTTCCATCATCTCTCCATGCAGAGTACTAACCACTTTCCATCATCTCTCCATGCAGAGTACTAACCACTTTCCATCATCTCTCCGTGTAGAGTACTAACCACTTTCCATCATCTCTCCGTGCAGAGTACTAACCACTTTCCATCATCTCTCCATGCAGAGTACTAACCACTTTCCATCATCTCTCCGTATAGAGTACTAACCACTTTCCATCATCTCTCCGTGTAGAGTACTAACCACTTTCCATCATCTCTCCGTGCAGAGTACTAACCACTTTCCATCATCTCTCCGTGTAGAGTACTAACCACTTTCCATCATCTCTCCGTGCAGAGTACTAACACTTTCCATCATCTCTCCGTGCAGAGTACTAACCACTTTCCATCATCTCTCCGTGTAGAGTACTAACCACTTTCCATCATCTCACCGTGTAGAGTACTAACCACTTTCCATCATCTCTCCATGCAGAGTACTAACCACTTTCTATCATCTCTCCGTGTAGAGTACTAACCACTTTCCATCATCTCACCGTGTAGAGTACTAACCACTTTCCATCATCTCTCCATGCAGAGTACTAACCACTTTCCATCATCTCTCCGTGTAGAGTACTAACCACTTTCCATCATCTCACCGTGCAGAGTACTAACCACTTTCCATCATCTCTCCATGCAGAGTACTAACCACTTTCCATCATCTCACCGTGTAGAGTACTAACCACTTTCCATCATCTCTCCGTGCAGAGTACTAACCACTTTCTATCATCTCTCCGTGTAGAGTACTAACCACTTTCCATCATCTTACCGTGTAGAGTACTAACCACTTTCCATCATCTCTCCATGCAGAGTACTAACCACTTTCTATCATCTCTCCGTGCAGAGTACTAACCACTTTCTATCATCTCTCCGTGCAGAGTACTAACCACTTTCTATCATCTCTCCGTGCAGAGTACTAACCACTTTCTATCATCTCTCCGTGCAGAGTACTAACCACTTTCTATCATCTCTCCGTGCAGAGTACTAACCACTTTCTATCATCTCTCCGTGCAGAGTACTAACCACTTTCTATCATCTCTCCGTGCAGAGTACTAACCACTTTCTATCATCTCTCCATGCAGAGTACTAACCACTTTCTATCATCTCTCCGTGCAGAGTACTAACCACTTTCTATCATCTCTCCATGCAGAGTACTAACCACTTTCCATCATCTCTCCACGCAGAGTACTAAGTACTTTCCATCATCTCTCCGTGCAGAGTACTAAGTACTTTCCATCATCTCTCCGTGCAGAGTACTAAGTACTCTTCATATCACAAGTCACAATATACTGCCTGAGACGGAATACTCAATAAACCGTCCATTATTAAAATCTTCATCACCTGAAATGTTGTGTTGCGTGTGAGTGCTGTCTCCCGTCACTGTCTCCCGTCACTGTCTCCCGTCACTGTCTCCCGTCACTGTCTCTCGTCACTGTCTCCCGTCACTGTCTCCCGTCACTGTCTCCCGTCACTGTCTCCCGTCACTGTCTCCCGTCACTGTCTCCCGTCACTGTCTCTCGTCACTGTCTCCCGTCACTGTCTCCCGTCACTGTCTCTCGTCACTGTCTCCCGTCACTGTCTCCCGTCACTGTCTCCCGTCACTGTCTCCCGTCACTGTCTCCCGTCACTGTCTCCCGTCACTGTCTCCCGTCACTGTCTCCCGTCACTGTCTCCCGTCACTGTCTCCCGTCTCTGTCCCCCGTCACTGTCTCCCGTCACTGTCTCCCGTCACTGTCTCCCGTCACTGTCTCCCGTCACTGTCTCCCGTCACTGTCCCCCGTCACTGTCTCCCGTCACTGTCTCCCGTCACTGTCTCCCGTCACTGTCTCCCGTCACTGTCTCCCGTCACTGTCTCCCGTCACTGTCTCCCGCCACTGTCTCCCGTCACTGTCCCCCGTCACTGTCTCCCGTCACTGTCTCCCGTCACTGTCTCCCGTCACTGTCCCCCGTCACTGTCTCCCGTCACTGTCTCCCGTCACTGTCTCCGTCACTGTCTCCCGTCTCTGTCCCCCGTCACTGTCTCCCGTCACTGTCTCCCGTCACTGTCTCCCGTCACTGTCTCCCGTCACTGTCTCCCGTCACTGTCTCCCGTCACTGTCTCCCGCCACTGTCTCCCGTCACTGTCCCCCGTCACTGTCTCCCGTCACTGTCTCCCGTCTCTGTCCCCCGTCACTGTCTCCCGTCACTGTCTCCCGTCACTGTCTCCCGTCACTGTCTCCCGTCACTGTCTCCCGTCACTGTCTCCCGTCACTGTCTCCCGTCACTGTCTCCCGTCACTGTCTCCCGTCACTGTCTCCCGTCACTGTCTCCCGCCACTGTCTCCCGTCACTGTCTCCCGTCACTGTCTCCCGTCACTGTCTCCCGTCAGTCTCCCGTCACTGTCTCCCGTCACTGTCTCCCGTCACTGTCTCCCGTCACTGTCTCCCGTCACTGTCTCCCGTCACTGTCTCCCGTCACTGTCTCCCGCCACTGTCTCCCGTCACTGTCTCCCGTCACTGTCTCCTTAGGACCAATAAATACTTCTTATTGATAAACAACTTTAACTTCTTTCTACTGACAAATTATTTTTATAATCAAAGAAGAAGCGCTAAACCACAAGGGCCATACAGCGTTGCTCTACTGACAAATTCCGCCTTATTTTTAAATTTTCCCTACTGATTAAATATCATATTTTAAAATTGCGTCCGCTGTGTTCCAGAGTCTCAGTGTTACTATCCAGAGAGGTAACGCCTGCAGTGTTGAACACAGCCTATGTCAGAGAAATGCATGAAATGTTCCTACTATAGCTCCTGTGATGTCATTAAAAACACATTATTTGTAATTAATCTCCACATTATATATATATATATATATATATATATATATATATATATATATATATATATATATATATATATATATATATATATATATTATATATATATATATATATAAGTTTCATAATCTTTGAGGTGACAGTATTAATTTCAAAAATAATTTTGTTGAGAGGTGTGGAGAGAGGCTTGCAACATAGACCACAGTGACCAACACTCATCTGTGGTACTTTTGCAGTTATTTTCTGTGGTTATACGTGCCGATACAGTGTTTAAGGAAGTACAGCCTGGGAGTGAGCATCAGGCAGCTTCACGTTCCACGCCGCCAGAACCTCATGAGGCCGACCTCCACGATGAAGGCGAGGGAGGCAGCGAGAAGCCCCAGCAGGAGGAGCAGCAGGGGTCCCTGCAGGTGCACCAGGGTGAGTGACTGGTTCACTCCTTTAGATGATCCGGCAGCAGCCTCCACCTTCGTCTGCGACGCCTGTTCAAGTTTGCGCTTCTGCTGCGCCTCCCGTCGTGTCTGAGCCAGTATATCAGCCATCCACTTGTTGTAAAGGCCACTCTATAATAATAATAATAATAATAATAATAATAATAATAATAATAATAATAATCTTTATTTCTACGAGTAGATGATATAACTTACAGACCATAGCTGACATCCATGACATACTATATAGAAAGCCTCTGGTTATGCAGAGCATTTCTGGCAAATTAGGTTACTTTTGTCCCCAGGATGCGACCCACACCAGTCGGCTAACACCAGGTACCTACTTGCTGATAGGTGAACAGGGACAACAGGTGTCTTAAAGAAACACACCCAGTGTTTCCACCCGTTCCAGGGATCGAATCATGGACCTCAGTGTGTGAGGTGAGTGCGTTACCAATCCATCTACGGGATATGCGAGTCAAGAAGTGATATGCGAACTTAACCACAAAATATATATAGTATTTCTTTGCGTGAAACTTACGTGATTCACAACTTTTACACGTATCACAACACCAAACTTTTTTTTCTTTTTTTTTGGGTGGGGTGGGGGGGGGGTTACAATATCAGATAAACTGTCCATTACTCATGTCTATGGACTGTGAATCTCCCTATAAACGAGATCTGTACACACCATGACGTGTATGTCTTTCAGTGTATATATGCACATTTGCTGAGAGTTTAATCCCTATTTTATTGATTAATGTATTTTTGACTGTTGGTGAATAGGTGACATGCAGACCTAATGACCCTAGTGTAGATAATAATAATAATAATAATAATAATAATAATAATAATAATAATAATAATAGTAATAATAATAATCTTTATTTCTACAAGTACATGTACAAGGTATACAGGTATAGCTGACGTCAATGACATACTACTATATAGAAAGACTCCCGTTATGCAGAGCATTTCGGGCAAATTAGGTCAGTTTTGTCCCAGGATGCGACCCACACCATGAGGTCTGGTCACAGACCTGGCCGCGGGGGCGTTGACCCCTGGAACTCTTTCCAGGTATATCTCCAGGTATACACCAAAAACTAACACCCAGGCACCTATTTTAATGCTAGGTGAACATGGACAGCAGGTATCTTAAGGAAGCACGTCCTAATGTTTCCACCCATACCGGAGATCGAACCAGGGACCTCAGTGTGTGAGATGAGTGCGCTAACAATCGAGCTAAGGGACAAATTAGATAGGCTTAAGCCCCATTATCCAACCAACCAATCATTCATTCAACCGTCATCATACATGGGAAAAACACAGAATCCACACCGAGATTATCTGCTGAGAAGAACATAAGAACGAAGGAACACTGCAGAAGGCCTACTGGCCCATGCGAGGCAGGTCCAAGTCTCCTACCGGCTTAAGCCAATGCACCCAACCTAGTCAGGTCAGGTCACATTGACTTAAGGGAGGAACACGGCAACCGACCTGGTAGCACAAGCTATCAGGTCCAACTATCTAGTGTTATTGTATCTAGATTAAAGACTATCTTTTAATATCTAGATGCTATTAGTTTCTTTTGTGCCAACCAATATTTTATTACAAGCAAATTACATTACCTGTATACTGCAGAAAATAAATTTATCATTATTATTAGGCAGAAAGAGCAGAACTTTCCTCACCTCGATGACAACATTAATGACTCTGTCGAAGGCGTCCTTGTAAGGTGCGTCGTGAGGGATGGGCCAGGCGTTGAATCCTGGTAGGACGCCCTCTCTCCCAACGTACAGTGCCGTCTCTCCGTCAGCATCAGTGAAACTCTCAGCTATCACAAGTTCCAGGTACCGTCGACCGTCTACATGAGCCTGTCTGCAAGTATTCACTGCCCTCATAAACACAAACTATACGTGTGTGTCTAGTCTCTCAAAGATTCACCAGTGTAAAGTGTGTCAAAGTCCTGTACACAGAATCTTGATAAATCAGACACGTCCAACACTTGGGTAGCTTATAGAAACGTTTCGCCGCACAGTGGCTTCCTCAGACCATGTCTGTACTGGACTGGGAAAGCCACTGTGGGGCGAAACGTTTCTGTAATAAAGATACCCAAGTGTTGCACATGAGTTTGATTTATCAACTTGTCGGTTCTCAGAACCGTTTATCTACACACACAATCTTACAATCAGATTGTGTTGCTAATAGATTAGTGGAATTACAAACAGCAAGACACAAAGTCTATTGGTTTCAGACATTTATTATTATTAATGGCATAAACCTTGGTAATAAATACCGACAAGTTGGTTTAGAAAGACACGTAAGCAAACACTATGACATATTTATTAGAAAACGTTTCGGTCCTGGGACCTTGATCACTTCTAACATACAGAGGTAGAAAGGCTTTATATATATAGGCGGAGAGTGAGGTGTGACGCACGTGACCTGAGGAATGTCATAAGAACATGAGAACATAAGAATGGAGGAACACTGTAGAAGGCCTACTTGTAGACAGCCTGTACTGTCTGCACAGACAGCCCATGCTGTCTGCCAGCTTAGTTCATATTTCGCGCCACTCAGGTGCTGCCCTCTGTAGCCAGGCCTCTAGGTAGGCACGCCAGCCTGCCGGCCCATGCCTCTCCCTCACTCCTAGGCCGACCGACTTGACAGACACAAGTGCTCCCCCCTCCACGGACTGGCTTGCGGTCACTCCCTCACACTGCCCGTTGTGTACTCACTCCTACCCAATTAAAGCCAAACTAGTCCACGGCCGTATCATTGCTACCTACGCTACCTCCATCGGCACTAAACCGTTGTTCAGCAGAACAGAAATAACATACTGGCCCATGCGAGGCAGGTCCTTATCAAAACAACCTCTGCCTACGATGAGGACGGATTTCAACGTCTACCCGTCCTCATCGTAGGCAGAGGTTGTTTTGATAAGGACCTGCCTCGCATGGGCCAGTAGGCCTTCTACAGTGTTCCTCCATTCTTATGTTCTCATGTTCTTATGACATTCCTCAGGTCACGTGCGTCACACCTCACTCTCCGCCTATATATATATAATGCCTTTCTACCTCTGTATGTTAGAAGTGATCAAGGTCCCAGGACCGAAACGTTTTCTAATAAATATGTCATAGTGTTTGCTTACGTGTCTTTCTAAACTATTATTATTAATACTAATAGTAGTGCATTAATTTCACGGGGAATAAGAGATAATCACGTTGGATTCAAGGTGAGGATGCATAGTTCCATTTCCTTTATGGTTAGTTGATGAACATAAAAGCACGATACTGTGGCTGGATCAATACACAAATAACCTTCTCACATGAGAAAGAAGCTTATAGCGACGTTTTGGTCCGACTTACCATTGACTAGTCACATTAACACACTGGCTCCCTCATTTTCGTGTGCTAGTGTGACTAGTCAAAGCTTCAAGTCAGACAGAAACGTTGTTATAAGCTTTTCTTCTATGTATTGGTTATTTGTGTGTGGCTGGATAATTAATTAGGCTATAGCCTATCGACTATACAAGGCTACATATCAGCAATTCACTAGACATAAACAGGAGGGCACCACTTTACAGCGTTTCGCTAATACAGCGGTTTTCAATTATACCCATTCTTCATTTATTCAGACTTCCAATAAATGTATTCACCACTCACTGTGAGCTAAGGACGAAAATATTTTAAGTAATGTGTGTACTGTATATGCATTCTTTAGGCCTAGCTTTATTGTTGACTTAATATATGATAGCGTAAACATGTTATCACGCTTTTATATGCGTTTGAAAGTGAATAAAAGGCTGTGTTTCACTTTACAGCGATTTTTTTTTTTTGCTCTACGGCAGTAGCCTGGAACCTAACCTGCAGTATAAGTGGAGCTGTTTCACTTTACAGCGACTTTTGTTTTACAGCGGTAGCCCGGAACCTAACCTGCTGTATTAGCGGAGCTGTTTCACTGTACAGTGCTGTACAAGCGGGCCCCTCCTGTACACCTCATAGTACAATAGCGGGTGTGAGGAGAGAGCCTCACCTCTTACGGAGTGCTTGGTGAAGACCCTCAGTGACAGACACTCCTACAGTCATTAGTTCTCCCCAGGCACGGAAGGTAGGAGACTCTGACTCGCGCAGGAAATTAAGAAACTCGGAGCCGTAGGACGGCATGGTGATCCTGGAGGAGGAGGCAGAAGGGGCAGAAAAGGAGTGCAAGTAGGTAAAGAAAAGGAGGAGGAAGAAGAATTGTATGAAGAGGAAAAGTAAGATAAAGGGGAACGAGAAAGGTAAAATATTGTATTATTAATGTTATTAATTACTAGTATTATCATTAGTAGTAGTATAGTAGTGGTAGTAGTAGTATAGTAGTGGTAGTAGTAGTATAGTAGTAGTAGTAGTAGTAGTCTTCTTTCAACAAACCGGCTGTATCCCACCAAGGCAGGGTGGCCAAGAAAGAAAAACAAAAGTTTCTCTTTTTAAATTTAGTAATATATACCTGATAAGGGGTTACTACCCCGTTGCTCCCGGCATTTTAGTCCCCTCTTATGATAAGCATGGCTTGCGGAGAAAGAATTCTGTTCCACTTCCCCATGGAGTAGTAGTAATATTATTTGTATTATATTTAATGGGAGGTGATCAGTTTTGATCCGAGGGAGTGTAGCTCTAATTACTTGGATCAAAAGCGCATCATCAGCATCAAAGCACTCATCCCCCCTCCTTCCTTGAAGGTGCAGATAAGCAGGCGATTCACCTGTTAACAACGGTGACGAGGTGCTGGAGAGTCTCCGGGCGGGGCGGGTACTTGGGCAGGGAGAGGAAAGCTATGAGGTTGCCCCGGTATGCGGTGGTGACGATGAAGGTGAAGACCAGCCAGGCCGCCAGCAGCCCCCGCCAGGTAGTGCTGGTGGGCAGACCCCTCTGCATGGGCTGCCCAAACAAGGCACCCACCACCACCAACACTGTGTTGCCAACCCGCATCTCACCTCCACCTGAGCTTCTGTGACTCACCTAAGTAAGTTTAAGTACAGGGGCACATACATAGTAACATGCAAAACAACTTTACCAAACAGGTAAAACTTGCGATTTTCTTGCCGAATAAGGCAAGCGAAAATTTGTGTATGCAATAATTTCGCAAAAAATCATTCTAAACCTAACGAAAAAATATTTCTTTGTTTATTATTAAATTACTGTAAACTTATCTAAAATATATTAGATGGCTGAGATTAAGTTAAATTACGCTTGTTATAATAAGGTAAGGTTTTCTAAGTTTCTTTTGGTACAAAATTATTAACTTTTACATTAACTATATATATATATATATATATTATATATATATATATATATATATATATATATATATATATATATATATATATATATATATATATATATGTGTGTGTGTGTGTGTGTGTGTGTACATTTACTACAGTAACTTCGATCACTCAGTCCACTCCCTATTTCAGTGTTCACCCCCACGGTCTCAAATATATATATATATATATATATATATATATATATATATATATTATATATATATATATATATATATATATATATATATATATATATATGTCGTGCCGAATAGGCAGAACTTGCTATCTTGGCTTAAATAGCAAGGCTCATCTTGCCATATAGGACAAGCGAAAATTTGTGTATGCAATAATTTCGCCAAAATCATTCTGAACCTAACGAAAAAAATATATTTCACTGTGTTTGTTTAGTATTAAATTATTGTAAACAAATCTAAAATATATATAGTTAGGTTAGGCTAAAATAAATTGTTCTTGTTATAATAAGGTTAGGTAAGTTTTCTAAGATTCTTTTGGTGCAAAATTAAAATTTTTTACATTAACATAATAAGGTTAGGTAAGTTTTCTAAGATTCTTTTGGTGCAAAATTAAAAATTTTTACATTAACATTAATGAAAAAAATATATCTTTAAACGCATAAGAGAAAATTTTAGAAAGGACTTTATTTTAAATGAGTTCTTGCTAATTGACCAGTTTTACATATTCGGCACGACACACACACACACACACACACACACACACACACACACATATATATATATATATATATATATATATATATATATATATATATATATATATATATTATATATATATATATACCTATATATAATATATATAGCGGAGACCGTGGGGGTGAACACTGAAATAGGGAGTGGACTGAGTGATCGAAGTTACTGCAGTAAATGTATAGATTATTCACCCAAGAGTGGTTGATGAGTGTATAAACAGCAAGCAGTCGTGTGGAGTGAGGTATTATAAGCTTATGGGACAGTAAAAACAGTCTCCCTCCAGTGTGCAAAATATATGAGACTTCTGTTGTCTAGACCATCTAGATGGAAGCTGCTCCTTCCTGAGTATCTCCCACTTCTTTGGTGCTATATGATGACCCCTACAGATTTAGCGCTTTCGTACAATCGACTCAGCTCACCAGGTAGAAGACTGGAGGCATAATGAGGAGGAGGAAGAGGATAGTAGCCCACACCCCGTCTGCCAGAGGATAGTAGAGAGACTGCCACTGAGGCCTGAGGGATGGCTTAGCCATGGCGAAGCCCAGATTGATGCTGTGCTCGTACGTGCTGGTGAAGCTGTATCTCTCTATCCTGTTCTGGAGGATCAGGTGAACCACTGATGCAACGAACGACACTCTCTCCTCCACCAGGGTCACTACCTAAGGATTTTATTTTGCATTATTCGAGTCTGGATACATCAGCAACGTGCTGCTATCCTCCTCTATGTGATGGTTATATTGTGGTTAGAATACCCTCATAGTGGTTGGAATACCCTCATAGTGGTTGGAATACCCACATAGTGGTTGGAATACCCACATAGTGGTTGGAATACCCTCATAGTGGTTGGAATACCCTCATAGTGGTTGGAATACCCTCATAGTGGTTGGAATACCCTCATAGTGGTTGGAATACTCTCATAGTGGTTGGAATACCCTCATAGTGGTTGGAATACCCTCGTAGTGGTTGGAATACCCGCATAGTGGTTGGAATACCCGCATAGTGGTTGGAATACCCGCATAGTGGTTGGAATACCCTCATAGTGGTTGGAATACCCGCATAGTGGTTGGAATACCCTCATAGTGGTTGGAATACCCTCATAGTGGTTGGAATACCCGCATAGTGGTTGGAATACCCTCATAGTGGTTGGAATACCCGCATAGTGGTTGGAATACCCTCATAGTGGTTGGAATACCCGCATAGTGGTTGGAATACCTGCATATTGGTTGGAATACCCTCATAGTGGTTGGAATACCCGCATAGTGGTTGGAATACCCTCATAGTGGTTGGAATACCCTCATAGTGGTTGGAATACCCGCATAGTGGTTGGAATACCCTCATAGTGGTTGGAATACCCGCATAGTGGTTGGAATACCCTCATAGTGGTTGGAATACCCGCATAGTGGTTGGAATACCTGCATATTGGTTGGAATACCCTCATAGTGGTTGGAATACCCGCATAGTGGTTGGAATACCCTCATAGTGGTTGGAATACCCTCATAGTGGTTGGAATACCCGCATAGTGGTTGGAATACCCTCATAGTGGTTGGAATACCCGCATAGTGGTTGGAATACCCTCATAGTGGTTGGAATACCCGCATAGTGGTTGGAATACCCTCATAGTGGTTGGAATACCCGCATAGTGGTTGGAATACCCTCATAGTGGTTGGAATACCCTCATAGTGGTTGGAATACCCGCATAGTGGTTGGAATACCCTCATAGTGGTTGGAATACCCGCATAGTGGTTGGAATACCCTCATAGTGGTTGGAATACCCGCATAGTGGTTGGAATACCTGCATATTGGTTGGAATACCCTCATAGTGGTTGGAATACCCGCATAGTGGTTGGAATACCCTCATAGTGGTTGGAATACCCTCATAGTGGTTGGAATACCCTCATAGTGGTTGGAATACCCTCATAGTGGTTGGAATACCCTCATAGTGGTTGGAATACCCGCATAGTGGTTGGAATACCCTCATAGTGGTTGGAATACCCGCATAGTGGTTGGAATACCCTCATAGTGGTTGGAATACCCTCATAGTGGTTGGAATACCCGCATAGTGGTTGGAATACCCGCATAGTGGTTGGAATACCCTCATAGTGGTTGGAATACAAGCAGTGTTCTGCAGCAATAACTCATTACGACTGTAACCAGATTTAAACATACAAATACTTCATTACCACTAACTTGTTCAACTATCAAAACTTTGTGTCCCAGTCCCTGGATCCATTATGTACCTCTAACCTTTTGACTCCCTCTCACAGGATGGGTATGGCCTCATGATAATAATATTAAACCAACTGTCTTTACTCAATATAACATTTACACAGTGGGAGCACCCGTAGTATGCTGCTACCCTACTCAATATGACTGTTACATAACGGAAACAAAAGCTAGGTTTCCCTTACAGATTCCATCCCACTTGATGACTATTTCAATAGAGTGATGACCTGAGTCAGCTGAGGCTAGAATAGTTCAGTAGGACGCTAAAGATTCCATTAAGTAGTTCAGTAGCTACGGCAGCTTCAGAGATTTAAACAACCACTTCACTGACATCAAAACTGATATCCAGAGAATTGTTACAACATCTATGTGCAAGAAAGGTATACAATACCACAAGATGAAAGTTAAGACACATGTGCAATATCTGGGTATCTTTATTGTAGACGTTTCGCCATCCAGTGGCTTTATCAATACAAATTCCAGGACATAACTAGAAGACAGTAGAACTATACACAAAAGATGAGGTAATCTGGGGGACTGATTACCTCATCTTTTGTATATAGTTCTTCTGTCTTCTAGTTATGTCCTTGAATTTGTATTGATAAAGCCACTGGATGGCGAAACGTCTACAATAAAGATAACCAGATGTTGCACATGTGTCTTAACTCTCATCTTCAACATGTATGTCATGACACAAAGAAATCAGCGATACTGTTAACAATAATGACAGTAATCATTCGTACACAACATGTAAACAGAGGCAGAGGTGCTCCTCTGAAATATCTCACCTCCTGCCAAGACTGTACTGGGAGGACGTGGATGGTGAAATTGAGTGTTTGTGCTATAGCCTCCAGCATGAGTCTGTCTGAGCCAGAGTATTTCTTGGTACCTCCTGAGGACGACCCACTGTCAGCCTCCACCACCACCTCGTCCCAGTAGGGCTTGTAGGGCAGTGCTGTCACATTCACCTTAGCTCTGTGAAAGCTGATGGCCACAGGTGGCTTCGCTTGTAGGCTGCTTTTGTAGGAAGTATCTAGGTGTTGTGGATTGTTGTAGGTGTTGTGGATTGTTGTTAGTGTTATGGATTGTTGTAGGTGTTGTAGATTGTTGATTTAGTTGTAAGTGTTGTGCCTATTTGTATTTTTTTGGGGGTTTATTGTTTTAATTTTAAATAAAGAATAAAGTCACAATACCGTGACTGGAACAATACACTGATAACCCGCACATAGGAGAATGAACCTTGCCACGACGTTTCGGTCCAATTCGAACCATTAATCTGTGTAGCTAGTTAAGGGTCCAAGTCGGACCGAAACGTCGACATAAGTTTGTCTCCATTGTGCGGGTTATTTGTGTTTCATTTATAAGTGTTGTGGTTCATTGTGTTGGTTAGTTAATGGTGTTTAAAGATCTTAATTAAGATTGAATATCATCTGTTTACCAAGAAGATCGCAATACTTAAAATAGTAAACTGATAAACTGTTAGTGCACCTAGACTGAGAGACATAAACCTTACTGTATATATTCTATTGTGGTTTGTTATAGGTTAGGTTAGGTGAGGTTTGTCAGGAAACAGGACAAGTGTTTCCTGACTCGGGTTTTAGTCATATGATGACCCACAGCTGGAGCTTTAGGTCATCTGACCGAGGCGTAGGTCAGTTAGGTTAGTTATTACAGTAAGTGCTAGCTACATCAGGTTCATAAGTTAGCATTACTTCAAAATTTATAAGTGTTAAACTTGGAGAACTTAGAATGTAACTCACTTGGAGAACTTAGAATGTAACTCACTTGGAGATCTTAGAATGTAACTCACTTGGAGAACTTAGAATGTAACTCACTTGGAGAACTTAGAATGTAACTCACTTGGAGAACTTAGATTGAAAGAGTGTGTGTCCAGGGAGGAGGTGTATACTCCCAGCTGGCCACAAGCTGGCTACCTTTACCAGCTGGGCTCCCTGTTGAGTGTATGGAGCGTAGCTGTACACTCTCCACCTGTCAGGATATACACACACACCACCTGTCATGATATATACACACCACCTGTCATGATACACACACCACCTGTCATGATATACACACCACCTGTCATGACATTCATACCTCCTGTCATAATATACACACCACCTGTCATGATATACACACCACCTGTCATGATATACATACCTCCTGTCATGATATACACACCTGTCATAATATACACACCACCTGTCATGATATACACACCACCTGTCATGATATACACACCACCTGTCATGATATACACACCACCTGTCATGATATACACACCACCTGTCATGATATACACACCACCTGTCATGATATACACACCACCTGTCATGATTTATACACTACTTGTCAAATTATGGTTAATGGGGTTTAAAGCCTATAGACTAAAATAATAATAATAATAATAATAATAATAATAATAATAATAATAATAATAATAATAATAATAATAATAATAATTCCGCCAAAATTGTAACTAACATCGACCAGCTGATCAAAATGTTTTTTTTTTTTTAAATTAATCAAAACATAGATTGATTGATTTTATTTATAGGGAAATTAAAGGTGAAAGTTTAATTGCGTAAGAATTAGGTTTCTGCATAATAAAAAAAATAATTAAAATTTGAAAATAATTCTCGGTAAATAAATACCGTTTCCCGCCAGAATTGCCGTGAGAGGCGGCGAGGAGGGAAGTTGACCTACATTCCCGCATTATATATTAAAAAATGTTTCTTTATCACCGTGAATCCGTGTTATGGCAAGTGACTGGAGTGCGTCAAGTGTTCAAGTGCAGACTGCAACAACCAGACACTTCTAAGTGCCGCAGAAAAGTTGCAAATAAGTGAAATACGGTGATGTCTCCCGGCTCCTGGAGTGAGTACTTCCTTCACGGGTTCTTCCTTATTTTGTGTTTATCGTAGATCTGTCATTCAGTTATTGCATATGTAATTATTTACTTCTCGCATTTGTTTATTTAGTGATTATTTATGTAGAGAGTTATATATTTAATGTTAAGTCATTCCCCACAACTTGATTCACGTAGCACAACCAATATATATCACTTATTTATCCTCACATGTCCAGTAAAAATCACTTATCCAGCATCATATATGTAATATATATCACATATCCAGCATGTATCACTTATCCAACAGCCGACGGCCGACTTGGTAGTATATATATATATATATATATATATATATATATATATATATAATATATATATATATATATATATATCACTTATCCAGCATCATGTATGCAATATATTACTCTTCCAACAGCACGTAACTGATGGGATGGGGAGGAAAGAACCGGTGATAAGCCTAGTTAGTCAAATTTGTATCTAAAGCTATAGATTTGAATAAATATCTCACTGCAGTTTTGTAAACAAAAATATAATTATAATAAGTCATTTCAACGAAATCGAGTCGAAATGTACATCATTTACTTTTTAACCACAATAATAATAATTATAATAATAATAATAATCTTTTCCACAAGTACCTGATACAACTTATACAGACCATAACTGACATCAGTGACATACTGTATAGAAAGCCCGGGTTATACCTGGAGTTTACCTGGAGAGAGTTCCGGGGGTCAACGCCCCCGCGGCCAGGTCTGTGACCAGGCCTCCTGGTGGATTAGAGCCTGATCAACCAGGCTGTTACTGCTGGCTGCACGCAAACCAACGTACGCGCCACAGCCCGGCTGGTCAGGAACCGACTTTAGGTGCTTGTCCAGTGCATTTCGGGCAAATTAAGTTAATTTTGTTCCCACACCAGTCGGCTAACACCCAGGTACCTACTTACTGCTAGGTGAACAGGGACAGTAGGTGTCTGTAAGGAAACTCGCCCAATGTTTCCACATGCATCGGAGCTCTAACCACGGACTTCAGTGTGAGAACTGAGTGCGCTACCAACCGAGCTACGGAACAAACAGATTAATAACCCAGGAAAGCCAAGTAATATGGCTTAATTCCAATGATACACCTGGGTGGGTGGGTGAGTGGCGTCTCCCTGACTAGGATGACAGTATTCATCATAGCGTAGATCCAGTGGGCGGCGGCCAGGACTCTCACAGTCTCCAGGGGCAAGCTGGTTGCACACACAAGCCTTGTTTCCCAGACAAGGAGGCGTCCAGCCAAGCTGAGGTCCCCGAAAGAGGTCCAGAAGGCGAGGTCATCGCTGAGTACCACCAGGCTCACGCAAGGGTACAGCAGACGCACCTGCTGGAGCAAGCATCCTCGTTACGTTATTGTTCAGAGAGCTTTGGATAGCTTTAAGTATAGATTAGACGGATACATCCGTGGGTGTGACTTAGCCATACCTATTATGGGTCAGTAGGTCTATTATAGTGCTTATTCTAGAGTAGTTTTGTTACGCTCTCCCAGAGAAGGAAGGTTTAGGAATAACTATATATATACGACTGTACCTACAGACCCTTCAAGCGGGGAAAGACTTGATGTTAATAAAGGGTTATTGATTCAAGAAAGTTGACCTACCCTTTGAACGGAAGCTAATTACGTCCCAATTTTAAGGAGTTGTATGACACCTAGGAGTTTAGCGCTTCCACCACATGAACATATTGTAGACGGTCACACATACTGTATAATATATATATATATATATATATATATATATATATATATATATATTTATATATATATATATATATATATATTATATATATATATTATATATATATATTTATATTTATATATATATTTATATTTATATATATATTTATATATATATAAATATAAATATATATATATATATATATATAATATATATATATATATATATATATATATATATATATATATATATATATAAATATATATAATATAAATATATATAAATATATAATATATATATATATATATATATATATATATATATATATATATATATATATATATATATATATATATATATATATTACCAGTTTAGGGGCTGATGAGCATGTTTTTTTCTATCAAATTAGTCGCTAGTATGAATTTTAATTTAAAAAATGCGCTATCTGGAACGTGCTATGGCTCCTCAAGGTATCATACCACCTAGTCTCGCCTCGACGCCACAACTGGGACTCGCACCCACCTGGACCCTCTACCCAATTACTACTATAATCATGTAGTTTTATCATTACATTCTACTGATAAAGGGTCTCAGACCGAGGTCGAAAAATACAGATCAACGATTCTCTTGGTTTTGTGTACATGTGAATTTTCTTCTACCATGGAGAAGTATTCACGACACTTGATGCTCCACGGTAGGTTCCTAGAATGGAGCCTGAATGCCTTCCATCCCTCCTCCCCACATGCGCTGTATAATTCCTACGGATTTAGCTCTTGTGGCATGCAAAGAGTACACGTCACAATTTATTTGGCGTATGTCACACTCCCATATAGGCTGCTTCCCAACCAGCGAACCGGGTGCTAAGGGTTTAATGATCAGTAGGCTACTCATCGTTAAATCAGTACCATGGTTAATTGGCCAATCACAGGCAAGCCCGCCAGAGCTGAAGCAACGTGGTTCACTTGCGGTAAACATGGGTAGACTTGCCTGCCTGCTGGTTGACCACCGGTGCACTCAGGCTTCTGCTTTGCCATCTGTCACCGTGTACACTTACTATTCTATCTGTACATAGTGTACATACCTGGTGATATCTGATGAAGGCAAATATACATAATAATCTACTGTTGAGTTTTGTTTGCTTCACATTCCCATTACGACCAGGTCTCACAGGCCATTCTTTACCTGTGTTCGTAATAGCTTTCCCTCCATGATAATAATAATGCATTTAGCTATATAAACAATATGCGTTGGAGTGCACCTGTCTGGCGTAGCGTATGAGGTTGGGTAGTGGTGAGGTGAGTGTGGTGTCGTTGGCTTGCCCTGGCTTACTTGCTCGCAGAACTACAACCCCCCATGGCGAGCCTGCATCTGCAAACTCCTGTGGAAAAGATGAATTAGGATAACACACACACACACACACATATATATATATATATATATATATATATATATATATATATATATATATAATATATATATATATATATATATATATATATATATATATATATATGCAATAAGATCACAGTAAACAGGTGATTTCAGAATATGCAAAACAACCACTCTGAAAGAATAGAGAAATTCCAAGTTCCTTGATAATGTGAGTAGTCACGAAAGCGCTTGGAATTTCTCTATTCTTTCAGAGTGTTTGTTTTGCATATATATATATATATATATATATATATATATATATATATATATATATATATATATATATATATATATATATATATATATATATGTCGTGCGAATAGGCAGAACTTGCTATCTTGGCTTAAATAGCAAGGCTCATCTTGCCATATAGGACAAGTGAAAATTTGTGTATGCAATAATTTCGCCAAAATCATTCTGAACCTAACGAAAAAAAATATATTTCACTGTGTTTGTTTAGTATTAAATTATTGTAAAGAAATCTAAAATATATTTAGTTGGGTTAGGCTAAAATAAATTGTTCTTGTTATAATAAGGTTAGGTAAGTTTTCTAAGATTCTTTTGGCGCAAAATTATAAATTTTTACATCAACATTAATTAAAAAAATATATCTTTAAACGTATAAGAGAAAATTTTAGAAAGGACTTAATTTTGAATGAGTTCTTGCTAATTTACCAATTTTACATATTCGGCACGACATAATATATATATATATATATATATATATATATATATATATATATATATATATATATATATATATATATTAATATAAAGATCTTAATGAATTTTGTGTGGTCAATAGGCTTTAACCCCATTAACCAACCGAAATGCATTTGCATACTAATGTGCCTAATAATGTTTTATTGCCTGTAAACTACATAATCTTTGTGCAGCATAAAAAAAATTAATTTGAATTAAAACTAGGTGACAACCTAAGGACTGTCACTAAACTGTTATGCAGTAACGTAACACAAATTCTGACATTAACAATACTAATTTGAAAATACTTTTATTAATGAAAGCTTTTATTACGGTACACAAAGCTTCACCCACGCTGGGCGAAACGTTGTATAATAAAGAATCTCCCTTATAAAAATGTCTAAATTACAGATGAGTAAGCCATTAATTAGTAAGGAAAATAAGCATTATTTTTATCTTGGGGTGGGAGGCGGCTTCTTCAGCTCCCACGGCGTCTTCAACCCTCCCTCCTTCCCCCCCGGGGCTGCATCTTTGTCATATGTTTACTGGCGGATTGCTAGATCTACTAAAGATCCGCGCCAGGAAACACTTGTCTTGTTTCCTGACAAATCTTACCTAACCTTGCTAGATCTACCTTGTATTAGAAACCAAAATGCTATAATAATAATAATATAATACACAGGATATATACACCGAGAAGTGTATTTCTCTCAGCGTATATATGTTAAATTTAATCCTTCTGTTAGAGATCAAAGTATTCTTTACACTGTGACTGGTAAGACAGACTGGATACCTGTTCACATGGGAATAATAGATGGTACAAAGTTTGTCTTCGTGTTATTTTGTGACGTTCATCGTGTCAGATTAGTAAATTTTTGTCTGGTGGTAAAAAGGCTTCCGTGCAAACCTTAATGACCCTCGTGTCGTCGATAGGCTTTAAAATTAACCAACCGATACTACTACTACTACGAATAATAATAATTATTATAGTGATACTGGGCAGGCACCTTGAGGATCTGTGCTGGTGAGGAGGTGGGGTCGGTGAGGAGCATGACAGAGCAAGAGGGGTACCAGGTGTCCTGTAACACTCCTGTAACAGCTGTTCCAGCTCCTGTAACAGCTGCTACGGCGCCACCCTCTGCTGGCTCGAATCTCGTAGCTCCTGAAGCCACACAGACACGAACGTTAGTGTGGTAGGAGGAAACATAATAATAAGCTTGATGTTAGGAATTTTAGTGACCATTAAGGGCTTAATATCATAATAAAATTATTCACTATCCCAATCTATTACTGTATTACCATTCTCTTGTGATTTAACCTTACTACTACTTCTACTACTGCAATAACTATTGCAACTATTATTACTATTTCTACTACTTTATTTATACTATACTGTTTCTACTAATACTACTGTTACTATTAAGAATAATACAAATATAATAAAGTAATAATAGTTAAAATATCATCATAACTACAGTACTACTAATACTATTACTACAACAACAGTAGCATCTGCCGTTACTATTTATAAATAGTAATAAATAACTGACCTGACTTTGGTAAGAGCTGGATGATTAGGAGGGCTGCTGCTAGCAGTAGGTTGGAGACAGTAGCATCCACAGTCTGGGATAAACTGGTGGTCATGGAGAGAGCTCCCATTGGTTCTGCCTTCTGGGGAAGAGTACTGTGACTGGTAGGACAGACTGGATAACTGTTCCCAGTGGTATAAAGATGGTACAAAGATTGTGTTAGAGTTATTTTGTGATGTTCATCGTGTCAAATTAGTAAATTTTATATAGATAAAAGGTTGTCTAATGTATGGATATATATATGAAAAAATACCACAGTGAATATAGGAAATAAAACCTGATAACTTTCATGTGCTTATACACATATCTTAAGAGGAATTGGAAGAACAGGCAAGATAAGTACATTTTATGTTATACCTCACATTTTATGTGACACCTCACTCAGAGGTGACAACACTCCACACAAACAGGATATATATATATATATATATATATATATATATATATATATATATATATATATATATATATATATATATATATGCAAAACAACCACTGTGAAAGAATAGAGAAGTTCCAAGCGCTTTCGTGACTACTCACATTATCAAGGAACAATGAAAGTAAAGCATCAAAGGAAGGTATATAAAGGGGTAGCCCACACCTCACTATCAGATCCCACAACAACGAAACACCTGACGCGAGACAGCAGGCCCGCCGGCCGAACTAGACAGGTCCTTCATACAACCCACCAACAAACTATTCTACCCAAGAAATAAGAAATTTAAAAAATTATTATTTGTCCAATGTATTATTAAATTCTTCCCAAATTCTATTAATTATAAATGGATCTAATTTATATAAACCAAAGGAAATATTCATATTATTGTCAAAACTGCTTTTTATGAAACAAGATTCAATTATATTCCTGTCGACCATGGACTTGCTTGACACTACTTTATCAACTTTTTGAAAATCAATTGGATGATTGAAAATCAATATGGTTGTTTTGCATATTCTGAAATCACCTGTTTACTGTGATCTTAATGCATATATATATATATATATATATATATATATATATATATATATATATATATATATATATATATATATATATATATATACTTTCAACGCACCAGCCGCATCCCACCGAGGTGGGGTGGCCCAAAAGGAAAAACAAAAGTTTCTCCTTTCAAATTTAGTAATATATACAGGAGAAGGGGTTACTAGCCCCTTGCTCCCAGCATTTCAGTCGCCTCTTACGACACGCATGGCTTACGGAGGAAGAATTCTGTTCCACTTCCCCATGGAGAATATATAATATATATATATATATATATATATAAAATAATATATATATATATATATATATATATATATATATATATATATATATATATATATTGTTCATTCCTTATGGTAACCCAGCAATGCTCATCTTACTGTCTGAGGCATGTCAATATTTATAAAATTAATTTTAAAGGGGTGGAGGGGAGAGCCAGTGGAAGGCCTCGATCAGATGATGAAAAGCTCCAGTTGCGGGTCATCATATGACTAAGACCCCTGACAAATCTTACCTAACCAACCCGTTCCTTATTGTCAACCTGACAGATATTACCTCTTAGCCATGCTAAGCGTTCTAGTGGTACACTGTAATCACAATTTTACTACATGTAAACCAAACAATAACCAAATTTCTGTAAACTCAGCATTGTAATCTTTATAGAGAATAAACTTTGAATTTGAATTTGAATTTGAATTACCAGCACTGTCAAGCGTACATGTGCCTTAGATATATAAGATTTACTTATATATCTAAGGCACATACTAAAACATATTTAAAAACCTATGACCGCTTGCCGGATTTGCCATTTTCAAAATGGAGTCTGCCACTACTACTACTACTAATTCATCGACAGAGTTGATTCATTCCCACTGAGTCTGAAGGAATGCTTTCTAACATCTTGTGATTCACTTGTGTTTTTAACATCCAGCAGTGCCCTCCAGTACCTGTTTCTTAATTATTTCAACCTTATTCGAAAGGAACGGATTTAAATTTGCTTTAACGAGAAATGCTAAATTTGGCTACAAAGAAAGATGTAGGTTCTACATCCACGGATTGTTTTGGGAGAGAGTAGTCATCTTGGACATGCTCCCGCCACGTGAAACTTAAGCAGTTAGTGTAATAATTTTGTTATGTGGTAGTAACAAACTATTTACCAATGAATGGTCTGAAACAATTATAATGAGCTGTTTAAAGATATATAACTTCAGTTACGAAAGCATTACAATGTAGGTTGTATGTATTACGGATTATTTATACTATCCAGTTACTTGGGTAAAATTTTCTTTGAAGCCTTGAAACGTGACGCTTTTAACCTCTTAATTAAGACTAGATTCCGGGAAAAAAAAACACGGAACTGGTAGGGTTTGAACTTATGTCGAATGAGTCGTAAAACTCCAGGAAATTACTAACCTGGTATCATCAACGTTGCGTTGAAGGCGATCAGAGCACAACTGGACGCTTCCAGCAGATGCTTCTTACAGGCAAATAACAAGGAATTTATTTATATTGACGTGACACACAAGCCACCCAAACTGCGGATTGCTGATTGGTCAAGTCAGAGGGAAACCAGGTGATTGGTGTAGGCCACTAGTGTCCTGCAGTGGTGCACGATGATTGGTGAACGTCATTAGGGTCCAAGTCGAGTGAGGAGCAGTGGCTGGTTGATGTAAAAAGGTGAACTATACCGTGACTGGTGGATCTGAAGGGGTGGACAAACCTGCCCCTCACACTCACCACTGAACACGAACTTTTTTAACTCACACAAAGTCTACGACAGATGTCACAGCCGTGAATAACGAACTCTGGCTGACAGTACCTTAAGTACAACAGGCTTTCTGAGTGAAGAATTAAAGCGACAATATCGTGGCTAAGAGCATTTCACTGAGGAGAGGATACTTACGGTAACGTTTCGCTCTTTCCTGGACCATTGTCAAGTCACTACTTTAACTTTAAAATGGGTAGTTATTCGTGAAGTCTGTCTGCGTGTTATGTCTATCTGGTCAGTACTATTATGTGTACCTGTTTAATTATTAACGTGAATCACTACATTTTAATATCTGTAGATTTGCTTTGCATTTTTATTAGTGTGTACTCACCTGGTTGTGGTTGCAGGGGTCGATTAACAGCTCCTGGTCCCGCCTCCTCACTGGTCGCTACTAGATCACTCTTCCTTCTCCATGAGCTTTATCGTACCTCTTCTTAAAACTATGTATGGATCCTGCCTCCACTAAATCACTTCCCAGACTTCCACTTCCTGACAACTCTGTGACTGAAAAAAAACTTCCTAACATCCCTGTGATTCATCTGAGTCTTCAACTTCCAACTGTGACACCTTGTTGCTGTGTCCCATCTCAGGAACATCTTGTCTCTGTCTACCTTGTCGATTCCTCTCAGTATTTTATATGTCGTTATCATATCCCTCCTATCTCCTGTCCTCCAGTGTAGTCAGGTCGATAACCTCTCCTCATAGGACATACCCCTAAGCTCCGGGACTAGTCTTTTTGCATACCTTTGCATTTTCTCTAGTATTCTTACATGCTTGGCTAGATGTGGGTTCCAAACTGGTGCTGCATACACGTACACGTACACGGTGTACAGGGTCCTGAACAATTCTTTATTGAGATGTCAGAATGCTGTTTTTAGGTTTGCCAGGCGCCCATATGCTGCAGCAGTTATTTGGTTGATGTGCTCCTCAGGAGATATGCCTGGTGTTATACTCACCCCAAGATCCTTTTTCATTGAGTGAAGTTTGTAATCTCTGGCCCCCAAGACTGTACTCCGTCTGCGGTCTTCTTTGCCCTTCCCCAATCTTTATGACTTTTCACTTGCTGGGGTTGAACTCCAAGAGCCAGTTGCTGGACCAGGCCTGCAGCCTGTCCAGATCTCTTTGTAGTTCTGCCTGGTCCTCGTGTGTGTGCGCGCGTGTGTGTGTGTGTGTGTGTGTGTGTGTGTGTGCGTGTACTCAATTGCACTCACCTAATTGTGGTTGCAGGCTTAGAGACTCAGCTCCTGGCCCCGCCTCTTCACTGAACGCTACTAGGTCCTCTCTCTTTCCCTGCTCCATGAGCTTTATCATTCCTCGTCTTAATGCTATGTGTGGTTCCTGCGGTTCCTCCGGAGACATGCTCGGTGTTATACTCACCCCAAGATTTTTCTCCTTGAGCGAGGTTTGCAGTCTGTGTTGTGTGCGTGTGCGTGTGCGTGTGTGTGTGTGTGTGTGTGTGTGTGCGTGTGTGTGTGTGTGTGTGTGTGTGTGTGTGTGTGTGTGTGTGTGTGTGTGTGTGTGTGTGTGTGTGTTAACATCTCAAAGCTTGTCTATTAAGAATAATTATATAGCATAACAAATATTTACTAATAAATTTCAATTCGACAAACAGCAATATTCCCCCAAATATAAAAACATTTATATATATTTTTAATATAAACATCGTAATGTATATTGGCTCTCATACTGCATTAAGATTTACGAATAATTGAAGCCGTCGCCACTCTGTATGTTAATATTGCACAAGACTGCGTAGTCGCAGTCACGACACCTGTATGAGGAGTTGGCAGGGGCCAGGAGCTAGGACTCAACCTTTGCAACCACGAATAGGTGAGTATGGATTTAAGAACAAGAATAATGGAATACACAGTAAGCCCGTACGTCCAACTCATACTTACCCACCAGGCAGTAACAGCCTGGTTGATCAGACCTTGATCCACCACGAGGCCTGGTCTCAGACCGGGCCGGGGGTATACACCCACTCATATACCTGTTCAACCTATGACGCTGCCTGGGAGTATATTCCACTTATCTACAACTCTATTGATAAACCAACACTTCCCCATATCCTTCACAAATCTAAATTTGTCCAGCTTCAATTCATTGCTGCGAGTCCTGTCTTGGTTAGATATTTTCAGCACTTTTTTTATATCCCTTTAATTTATTGCTGTTTTCCATTTGTACACCTCAATCATATCCCCCGTAATTCTCCGTCTTTCCCGAGAGTGCGCATTTAGTGGCGTTAGTTTAATATCTTTATTATGTACCCCATACCCATCCTGTGGGTGGTAGTCAAAAGATTACAGAGGTACATAATGGGTCCAGGGACTGGGCCTCAAAGTTTTGATAGCTGAGCAAGTTACAAAGGTAATGATCTCACAATTTACAAAGGTAATGAAGTCACAATCTACAAAGGTAATGAACTCCAGGTAGGTCTGGTCACAATCATGAGAAGTTACAAAGGTATTTACAGATTACAGAGGTACGTAATGGGTCCAGGGACTGGGCCCCCAAAGTTTTGATAACTGAACTAGGTACAAAGGTAATGAACTCACAAGTTACAAAGGTAATGAATCCTGTAAGAATGGTTCTTACGTTTATACATGGCTACAGTCATGAACAAAT